CCATCTGAGGTGGAGGCAAAACGACGAAAATATATCTTACACACTGACTTATCGTCCGTTGCGAAAGTGACGGCAATACCAATAAAATCAAAATTATTTTTAGATAAATAGCATTAACACATTGAATATGGAATCAGTGTACTTTATCGCTAGTCTGTCTTGAAGCAAATTTATTACTCTTTAGACTGCTGCTACCGGATTTACTCGACAGTGACTATACAGAGAAGCACTTACTGTACAGCGACATTGCTGTACATGAAAACCATTATACCAGATTTTGCAACAGTGATGTACCGCCAGCTTATTTCCAGTCGTTTAGGGGGACCATTTAAGCAAACCCAGCTCTGTATTATGTAAGCGCCTGCATCGCAAAGGACTCAAGATCGCGTTCCTGAGTTGGATTGAACAAGGGCTTTTTTTGAGTACCAACGTATTTGCCACTGTCCGTTTTCAAAATATGCAAAAACAGATCAAGACAGAATGCCTCGATGTTCTGAAGCAGGCATCAAGAATCACAGTTTTCCAATTCCCCTGGCAAATATAATCTTAAGCTACAGATACCGCATTTCTGTATAAATTTATTAATTTTGTAAGTCTGAAAGGACCAGTTGAAACAAGTGACAGATGACACTGCAACGAGACGAGTCGCGCAGTGGGTGCAGCGTAGGACTCATTACCGTGAGGTGTCACGTTAGAGCCCCGGTCTGGTCACTTGTCTTTCTTCCTTCCGATGTGAATGAATGAGCACCAGTTTGTAGGTAAGAAACTGGAGACTGTGTAGTGCTTGCCACGTCGATTATGCACTCAGAAAAATAGGTCACCTCTGGCTAATGGCGTACAAAAGGAGATTAGCGCCGCTTCATAAGCTTATGAAGTGAAGGGATCCACAAATGGTCCCCAATCATGAAACTGTAAAGGAGATCGGCATCTCGGCGATAACAGACTTTTTTCGACAGAACAGTGAGACAGACTCAAAGGAGTTTACTTACAGCGTTTGAAACTACTGTCAAATGTTGCATGTGTATGTAACGTCAGATGCTATGAAAAAACTGAAAATTCTAGAGTTATACGTTGAATGTCTTCAGTGAAATACTGAAGATACACCAGGGCACAGTTTGCTTAATGCTACGCATATCTCAGTGCATATCATAGCCATTGTGATAAATCATTCTACTAACATTTTGATACGTTTCTCGCTTTGACCGCTGCAGGTGCGTTATTTGATGCTGCGTCTCTATGAGATAAGCTCAAAACAATGCAACAGTTTGGTTCCTGTTAAAACATGTTTTTGCACTGCTTAATTTACATGACTATTCTTTACCCTGCAGCAAAATCGGGAAGATTTTCCAATGCTTTTGGATCTGTATAGGTGTTGTTCATTTATTGGGCTGAACTCCGATGCAGGCTATGTTTTCCCTTTGGTTGCCACTTTGACTCAGTGAAAGGAGTTTATGCCTCTCATGGTACTGTTAATTAGAAGACTGAAACTTTCTAGCGTTTAGTAAGATAACCCCATGCTAGACTGGCTACGTGTTAAAACTCATCCAAAGGGTACTCCATCTCAGACTAACCACCGAATAATATTCACAATGCTTCGTTCCTCTCTTAACATCGCAGTTAAACCGTTTGGACCTTAGGTAGAGGGATTCGTTTTCGAACGGCATGCAAAGTTCCTACCTGAATTTCTTTTTCACAGCTACGTAGCCTCTTGCGTTAGTTGCCACAAAAACTCAGCGGCTGCCGCTATTCATTTAGAAGGACAGCTGTGGATGGCGCATGGCTGTGAAACTTAACCTCGAAAAATAACCGGTAACTTGAACGTGATATCGTAAGTCAAGAATCAGGTTACAAAGACGATGCAAGAATTTTTATTTATCAGCGCGTTTCGACGCCGTACATCTTCGTTAATGAATGTCTAACGTCTAACCGGTGTTTGAGTTCGTTTGAGCTACAGGTGAAATTTTATCGGCCAACTTGTTCTCAGTGATTAATGAAGCAATTGATTTTCATCTACTAATGATTAGCTGTAATTTTTTTGTATTTTATCCTGATGAAGATGCCATTATGCAATGTCAAAATGTATTGGTAGCTGAAAGGTTTTACGTCCTCTTAGTAACCTGTTGTCTTGAACCATGAATCAAAAAAGAAAAAGAATAGTCATTATTCAAACAGGCAGCGACACGATATTTCCTTTGGAAGACTTTTTACCTGGCTATAAGGCTAGATATAAAGAGCACTATTTGACTAAGGCAAGCAAATTCAGGAAACATTCTGTCTAATTCACCTATGCAAAGAGTTTGTGAAAACTATTACTTTCGAATTTTGTTTGAAGAAAGTGTTTCCATTTGTATTTCTTATAAGTGCTTTCCGTTACTGCATTTGTAACTGCTAGTTTAATTTCATTAATTTCGATGCACTAGACGGGTTTTTATGCTTTTTATTTAAACGTGTCTAATGTAGGTGGTGCTCCATCAGCAAGAAAGGAAGTCATCCGAGCGAAGATCAGAGCTATAGGCAAAATGGCCAGGGTATTTTCCGTACTAAGGTAAATTTTATTTTTTTTTGTAGTTTTCCTAATTTTCTATTTAAAACATTGTGAAAGTTGTAGATTTGCTTCAGAAATAATCTTATCGTTCCTATCATTAAAAAATCTCTGATGAGCGGGACGAATACCACTTGACAGTGTAAAATTTTTCAGGCAATAGGATATCACAGTTGGTACTGTACTAGAGTTATTCGTTGTGGTTCATCCATGACATTTTTCAGATATTCCCTGTTCTCCACTTTTTGCCTCCGCCGCTGACCCATTAATTTTACTGATAATCGTCCCAGTGTGCTTAAGGATGACCGAGTGGACGTCTGTGATCCAAAGGAACAGATTTTGTATTTCTTGAAGTTCATCGTTTGTCTTTCATGCGAATCACACGACCGGCTCATATTTTGGTATCTTAGAACTCATAAATCCCGTTTGTTAATTCAGTCCATAACCGAATTTGTACCCTTGCAACATAGTGTCGACTGGAAGCTTTGCGCATTCTTCGCTCAGTCGCTCCTTGCGTGATCATCGGTTTTTTCTCTTCTACTTTTTTTTAGCAGATCACCATTCTGCGCCGTAGACCATGGCGTATAAAACAGTTGAACTGAGTAGTTGTTTCTTCACCCGTATCAACAGCTCATTTTCTACTGATGATGTTTTAGCACGGCTTAAGCTGGCTCGTGCCACCTTCGTTTTTCTCTTGATTTCCCCTGTCTGACGAGTTCGTGCAGTTCACAATTTGGCTATCGACGTATGCACTGTTAATATTTTCTTTCGCGTGTATAGAGCACTTAGTGAGTGAGATAGGTAATCCCCCCCTTTCCGCTTTAACCCTTTCTTGATGCGTAAATTGTAGTTTTCGCTAAATTTGAGTAGTGCTAAATTATATTAGAAAATAAGAACATGAACAATGCGCATTAAATGCTGGTTTCCACAAAATGCGGCTACGCTAATTAATACGGTTTCACTGTATTTGCAGTTAACATTAACAGACAGTGAGGTAAAAGGGAAAGAAGAAAGTTAATTGTTATAGAGCGTTGATTTACACTGTGCTGCGTTGTTCGATTACACTGTTGTTCGGAATGATCCTGGGGTTTACAGAATAAATAAGAAAACTGCAATAAGAGGGTTACAACACTACCAACTAAATATCACCATTCGAGGAGCAGTGCAGCTGGTAGTAACGTAACAAAGTTTTTCTATCTTAAAAGTGTTGAAAAAGATATGGCAGCGAAGTGGAGATGCGTCATTAGTCTCTGTACAGCTCTGTGCCACAGTAAGTGTCAAGACAAGTACAGCTGTGGTATATGCTCCCCATCTATTAAGTAATGAAACGGATGCTGCGAATTTATGATAATGGACAGACAGAAATTTTGCCAGTTATGACGTCTTTCCAAGGAAAAGTTTTTATGCATCATTTTTTCTTTTTTTTCTAAAAAAGCATCGCTCGGTCTCTTTTCTTGTGCTCCGCCATAGTGTCACTAGATGCGTCGTCGTTTTTACGTTGAATTTCTTTTTTTGTTCTTTATTTCAAAGTAGATTTGCTTTTGATTTACAGATCCCCCGCGTCCCCCATTTCTCTCCGGTTTTTTATTGAAGTTGTTTCTCCTAGCCTTTGATGAACTGGCGTCTAACCGCAAGGCAGCGGTGACATTGACAAGTGGCGGGTCCCATTATTCTCGCCATGAGACTGGCATTAGGCATTGTGACTTTTCCGTAAGGAACTGCGTGAGGATGCTTCACTGTTGCCTGTCCGCGACTCCTTTGTCGCAGCTAACCTCCATATCCAGAGGTCGTGCGCCTATCCGCAAACCAGCGATGCGCCAGATAGCCAGTGTGTAGACACACTGAATGAGCTACGGTTGAAAAATCAAATTGCAGGTTCATGCATCAGGGTATTTTAACTGACATTACTTCTGCAAGGTCAGGGGTCACGAAGTATTGCAACATCCTCTTGCCTCTAATGCACTGTTTAAGCAGGTCGCGGCTCCAGTGAGCGATTATCTGCAATTGCTCGCTAGATAACTAGGGACGAGGTTCTGGTACAATGGGTCGTGAGGTCTGGCCACGAATTATTTATGCGATAGTTGACATACTCTAGCATTTGTTGCCTGTATTTTAAAAATTATAATTACTCGATTATGCTTTGGCTTTAATTTCCGTGCTCCGTAAATATTGGAAAATGGTAAATAATTAAAGTGTGGATATAGTTTAATTGTGAAGAACTTTTGTTAACTTTGTTTCATGGTTTTGTTCGTGTTTCATTACTCGATTTTCACCGCGTAGCGGAATCACTTACTTTTTGCCTTATAGAGAAGAGAGCGAAGTCGTGTTACAGCTGAAAGGATTAACGCCAACGGGTCTTTTACCGTTTGGAGCACTTTCCGAAGGCCGCAGCTCCCTACAGTCTGGTTGGTTGCATTGGTTTTTTCGTTTTGTTTGTCGTTTTGAATATTTTGTTTTTATGTTCACTGGTATGCTTTTTTGTATTTTAGCGTTGTATGGTTTCGATTCAAATCACAAGATAACGAGTTTTGAGGAGGCAAAACGTCTGGATCAGATCAACGAACGCATGCCGCCGTCGAGGGACGTCGAAAACAATAACCAGGCGGCAGCGTTGTCTTCGACTTACGGTTCTCGCGGCAGCGATTCAGCAGTAGTGGCATCATCCATGGCGACTGCGGCCAGAAATTCCAGGTCCACCTCGTCGACGGCTGTCCCCACTTCCAGTGCGAAAGAGCAGCCGGCGCCAACAGCAGCGCAGGCGAAGGCCACCGACTCGAATCCTCGTCCCTCCCCTACAAAATTCTAACAGTTCTGCTTTCTTTTACGTTTTTCAATTCATCGCTTCATTACGCACATTACTATGTCTGCCGCCCGCCAAAGAGCTTTTCGTACGTCGCCAGACCTTCATTTGCCGGTGAATGAATGAGGTTAAACCGCGCGTTGTGTTGCTGATCCAAGAACCACTTTCCGTTGACCAGACAGACACTCACCGCCGCCTTGAACCACCTTATTTCGTTGCTGTGTGTAATTCGCCGCCGCTGCCCTTCAGCTCAGCAACAACGCGTATATATGTCATGCCAAGCCAAGCGCCGGCCGATTTCTGGCTGCGCACTTCCGTCTCTCAGGGGTTTCAGTCGTCGTCGCCTCCGCCGAAACTCGACCTTCCTTGTTCCGACCGATCGCGACGATTTAAGCCGCTATACAACAATCGGATCGAATCAGATCAGATCACGTGGATAAATTTGTGTGTGTATGTGTGTGTGTGTCTGACTGCACCGTACCATAGCGCAGGTGGTTTTCGTCCTGTCCAGTAGTTGTCGTTCATTGGTCGTTTCTATTGTTCATGTCAAACCTGGTCTTCGGCGAATATGCGTTCCGCGGAACGCGAAATACCAACCTCTCTTGACTGTGCTTACCGCCCGTCATCATAGTCTCGTCATATTCGCCTCGGACGATCGGCTACGATCATCAATCATCCGTCGTCATTCGTTACAACTACTCTATCTCTCTCTCCTTCCGAAAGTTCTGTTCGTTCTTCCGTCCGTCCGTGTCACGAATTTATCTAGCCATGCTGTTCCTCAGTGCATTATATCGTCTGTCGTAACCGTTGGCTGTAGCCAAATGTCTGTGATACTTTCAGTTTCTACTTTTGTCGACCTAAGTCATGTATAAACATGTGTGATGAAACTACCTGTCGATGTGCCAGTTTGTGTGTTGTGTAAACGGAATTAGCGTACTTTAGCTAATGCCCTCAGCTGCTTTTTTTCACGTAGTTAGTCGCCCGTAAATTGTCGTCAATGAAGGTAGTTGTAATTTGTAATGATAATGTGTATGCGTACTTTGTAAATTTGCTTATTTTAATAATTTAATTGTCCTTGCTAGTGGAATGGGCTAGGCTAATTTATTATTATTCTTGTAGACTTAACTTCTGCAGATATTGCATTATTTACCTATTGACGGTGACAGTATGAAGATCAGTGATTTTATTTTAGATTTATGCTATTCAGATCGGTTTCTAGGCCGCTTTGCCATTTTTATTGATGTATTTGCTTGAGTTTGTTTGGCTTGTTTTGAATTTTTTCGTGTAAGCGTATTTTTGTACGTTTGAAATTTTACATATTTGTAAATGAATTTACTTCTTAATCTTTGCTTGATTTGCATCTGTTTGTTTCTCATGCTGCAGTGTTGTTTTTCGCGTTTTTATCTAATGCTACAATTTTTTAAACTGCGATTTTGGGTTGAAGATCGGTACAGTATGTGAATCACCTGGTTTTACGAACAGATAATGGGGAGGCTGGAACCTAAACTGATTACGATTAGCCAGCATGTGCACCGAAGTCAATTACTAACTGCTAACTGTAATTAAAATTTGGAATGCATAAATTATAGAAATCGCGATTTTCAAGTTAAAATTCCAAGTTTACCTTTTCATCTTACTGACGGTTGATCAGTTATCAGGTTTATCACCAGCGAATCATATCAGACAAGGTGGCCAGTGCCACACCATGTTCTCCTCATACGTAAGTCAACGATATGCTACCCGTCTCTGTTTCTCAAATCAAAGTATAGTAAAGTAAATTCCCTACTTAATGCAATTGAAAGGGTTTACGCAATGCATGGGGTTTCACCCCAACCGACAAGAGTAGAGTCAAAAGCAAGCTGTTGTCCTATTGATCTCCGCACCACCCTATCGGTACAGTCTTATTGTGTAATCTCCAGTCAATTTGCCTGAACCAACCAAAGGTTGAATAATTTGCTTGATTGTCGGTGCAACCATTATTATTTATGTTCTTGTAAATGTGTGGTGCTGAAAAACTGATTTCGGAAGCCTTCCTCGAAAGAACTGAAATTGCCAAATGCAAATTATATTCTTGCTAATATGAAATAACCCTTGTGCAAGTGTCTTAATGCTGCTGATACTTTTCATTTTTCATCAGTCATTTTTCAGATCCATCCTGTGGAATTTGCAAGATGCTTCTCGACATTAAGTTGCAATAAACGTTAATGTCCCACTATTAAGCTTGTTACTGAAATTTATTTGCTGCAATATTTTCACTTGACTTTTTATCAGGTTGGATAAATAATGTTTTCTGTTTCTGCAACCATCTCGCTTATAAATATGAGTGCTGCATTTTGATCGAAAAATTGGATTAAAGCAGAAATGAGTGACCATTGAGGGA